GGCTTAAAAAAAACCCAACAAAACAAAACAAACTTCTCTTTTTACCTTACATGTCCTTTTTGTATAGATAATGGCTTCCAGTTTAGTGTTTTTATGGGATTCCTGAGTGTATAAACAAGTGGAACTCGGAATCTATGTCTGTTTCATGTTCCTTTTGGGGCGTGTCTTTCCCTTTTTATTTTTTCCTATTTTGATGCATTAGTTTTTGTTTTATCCTATTTTGCTTTACTATTATCCTTTAGAAAATTGTTTTCCAGTGAGAGACAGAAAGGGGTTGGATCCAGATGGGAGGGGTTGTGGGGAGGAACTGGGAGGAGTACAGTGAGGGCAAACCATAATCAAGATGTATTTGAGGGGGAAAAAAAAGATGTTTTTCAAAAAAAAAGGGAAAAAGCCAGTACTAATGCATAATAAAAAGATTAAAAAAGAAAATTTCAGTTTAAAAAGAATGGGCAAAAGACCTGGCCATTGTATCATAGAGGATATATGAATGGTTAATAGGGACAAGAAAAGAATGTTTAAATTAAAACCACAATGGCTCCATTTCATACTAACTAAAGTATTAAAAATTAAGTTCAACCATGCTGATCAACAAAAGAAGGCAGAACTAGTTTATCACCACCCCTGAAAGAAGTAAACATAGGCATCTGTGCACAAGAACAAGCATAGTCACTCATTCATAACAGCTCAGGGTCAGAAGCAACACAGGAGATGGGCATGGTTATTGATGTTTGTAAGGGGGCAGTACTAGCTAGTGTAAAAAGGGAGACTACAACAGTATGACCAAATCTAAGTTATGTAAAGGATACAAATCACACATGAAAGAATACATGCCGTATGACTATTTGTATGATGTTTTATTGTCCAAGCTAGGCTCTGATGGATTGTTGGAAGATGGTGGTCATAGAAGGAGAAACCTTCTATGTTTTCTGTGTTTGCAGAACTAACTATTCTATCATAAGCTATATTTTGTTTAAATAACTGTCTCTTAAATATGTATTTACAAAAACTCAATGAATTATATAGATATGTAGATTTTGTTACACATTGACTTGACCTCAATCAAAAGCATAAAAGTTTTAGAAAATTATATGAATGAAAGAGATAACCTAGTGACTGTTTAATCTAGGAATATATATATATATATATATATATATGTATATATATATATTTCATATATAGACAGTTGAAATTATTTTAAGGTATAAGAAAAAAGTTTATATATAGAGTGTAATATATACATATATATATATTATATAGACAGCTGGAATTATTTTAAGATATAAGGAAGAAGAAATACTTTCCAAATGAGGAATCAGGAAACTTTCTTTATGGAAAAGAGAGAATTTGGGAATAGTGCTAGGACTTAGAGGTAATTTAGACATACCATTTTATTGAGAGGAGTTGAACATGTTCAGTGCCAACTCCTGTAAATCCCTTACACACTAGTTCTTCAGGGTCTTGTAATCCTCTGGATGGATCACTTAACATTAAGATATCTTAAACCGAAAGTTCAGTGCATCTGTCATAACTTTTCAACCCTGCATTAATTTTATCATTTTTTGCTGTCATTAGTATTGCTAGGTCTTAGCTGTTTTTGAGTTAAAAGACCTGAAGTCAAGCAGAAAACTACTAAGCTCCATGTTCATTTTAATCCTTGGCATCTTCATTTGAAAGTGCTATTACCAGTGCTTCACATTTCACAGGATTTCTGAATGATTCACTAGGCACTATACAAAAAGATGGAGCATGGCATCTGACTTAACTACAGGTGCAATCAGTGTTAACTGGCATGTGATGCAGTTCTTACTGGCAGTATTTATCAAGTTCCTCCTGGATTTATTTTCTCTTTTCTCATACATGACCAATCATCTTGGAACTTCTGCCAAAATTATCAGTGGTCTACAAGCCTGGATCAACCCAGCAGCCCCATTCCCCCCTCACTGAGTGATTCTAGAGTCTGTCAAATTGGCAATCAATATCAACCATCAGGAGTTGGCCCTTTGTTAACCTGACTTTCGACCACATTACTATCAAGTCACAGTCCTTTACCACTTGTCTCCAGAGACACATAACATCTCATAACACAAGCCTCAAAAATTCTGTACACTAACAGTTCAAACACTGTCCAAAGTAAGTGTGGAGTGTCTTCTGAAACTCAGGCAACCTTTCAACAGTGAGCTCCTGTAACATCCGAATTGCACAATACCAAAACAAAATGGTGTTTCTCTCCCCAAAGAGAGGAATCAAGGTATCCTGATTCCTGAATCAAAACAAAACTAAAGTCAGCAGAAAAAAAACTCCAACTCTTGCAGCATGATGTTGGCTACCTGGGGCATGACAGAACCTTCAGGGCTCCAGAGGTTCAGCACACAGCTACCCGGGGCATGTCAGAACTATCAGGGCCCCAGGGGTCAGCACACACAGCTTTTCTCTTGGGCAAATGACACTTTGTGCACACAGCTTTCCTCAGTACAGATATTCTATAGTACTGGCATCACCAACACCCTGAGTTTTCCAATGACTTAGGCTTCAACCTCACAGCTCCATATCATGGGTTCTTTGGGCCTCATTGCAGGAGCTCTAATCTTGCCACACCTTGCATCGCTGGCTTCAGTAGCCTTCTGAAACCTTGGCCCAAACCTCTATCACTCCCTTGTATCATGTATCATGCCCACCACAGTACCATATGCGTGATGCTGTCTAGTTCTGCTACTTGCTTGAGTTGTAGTCTGCCCCCCCCCCCTCACTCAGTTGCATTAGTCCCTCTGTGCCTTTCAGGGCTGACTCTGGGGAAATACTTTTCTAGAAAAAGGAAGGAACCCCTTCAGTAACATTTTCAGTATAGGTTTTTGCTTTCAAATGTATTTGAATTTTTTTTTTACTTTTAAAAAATTGTCATTACCTTTATTAATATTTTTATTTATTTTTTTCATTTTACATACCAACCCAAGTTCCCCTTCCTTCCCCTTCTCCAGCCCCCGACCTCCTTCCATCCCACCACCCATCCACTCCTCAGAGGGGGTAGGGCCTCCTTTGGGGAGTCAACAAAGTCTGGTATACCAAAGTTGAGGCAGGACCAATCCCCTCCCCTCTGCATCCAGGCTGAGCAAGGTATCCCACCATAGGGAATGGGCTCCAAAAAGCCAGTTCATGCACCCAGGATAAGTCCTGGTCCCACGGGCATGGACCCCACAAACAAATCAAGCCACACAACTGTCACCCATATTCAGAGAGCCTACTTTGGTCCTATGCAGGTTCCCCAGCTGTCAGTCCATAGTTCTGAACTTGAGTTAGCTGTCTCTGTGGATCTCTGCATCATGCTCTTGATGCCCCCTTGTTCATATGATACACTCTCCCTGTCTTCAACTGAACTCCAGGAGCTCAGCCCAGAGCTTGGCTGTGGATCACTGCATTTGTTTCTATCAGTTACTGGATGTAGGTCCTATGATGACAGTTAGGTTAGTCACTAATCTGATTACAGGGGCAGGTCAGTTCAGGTACCTTCTCTACTATTGCTAGGAGTCTTAACTGGGGTAGTCCTTGTGGATTCCTGAGAATTGTCCTAGCACCAGGTTTCTCCCTAATTCCATATTGACTCCTTCTTACAAGGTATGTCATTCATTGCTCTCCCTCTCTGTCCCTTCCCAACTTGGCCATCTCAATCCCCTCATGTTCCCATCTCCTCCCTTCTGCTCCCTCCCAGTTTACCCAGGAGATCTTAACTGTTTCTTCTACCTGAGGCCCTCCATGTGTGGCTCTCTTAGGGTCCTCCTTGTTACCCATCTTCTCTGGGGTTGTGAATTGTAGCTTGGTTATCCTTTGCTTTGCGTCTAATATCCACTTATGAATGAGTATGTATCTTGTTTGTCTTTCTGGGTCTGGGTTACCTCACTCAGGATGATTTCAGGCTGCATCTGTACCAAATGAAGGAAGAGCAACCCCTGGAGCCACAGACTTGTATTTAAATTTTAACAAGATGGAGATTTCAGTGGCTAGATCTTGTCCATATTCACAGGTTTCTTTTTCATGGTGTGTCTTAGTTAGGGTTTTATTGCTTCAAAGAGAACTTTTTGACCATAGCAACTTTTATAAAGGAAAATATTTAATTGGGGCTGGCTAATAGTTTCAGAGGTTCAGTCCATTATCAGCATGGCAAGAAGTATGGTTGCATGCAGGCAAACGAGGGACTGGAGAGGAACTGAGAATTCTGCCTATGGATTTCTAGGCAGCAGGAAGAGACTGAGATATACTAGGCCTGGCTTAAGTATCTGAGATTTCAAAACCTTCCTCCAGTGACACACTTCCTTCAACAAGGCTACACCTACTCCAACAAGGCCACACTTCCCAATAGTGCCAGTCCCTATGAGCCTATGGGGCCATTTTCATTTAAACCACCATATGGTGGTAACATCTTTAATAGTTACAGCTACTTTCTCAGCACTCCCTTTGTCAGCAATATTAGATTCCTTCCTTTCTTCACCAAATGACACATTTTCTACATCACTTTGCTTCCATGTTGCTTTCTCTCACTGTAGACTTGGATACTAGCAGTGAGCAGAAACCATGAAACAGACTGAATGATATCTGGTCTTGACATTCTCCACCCCCCCCCCCACACACATTAGTCAATTACTTTCCAGTTTAGCTCAAGGACTTGAGTCAAATTCTTTGCCAGAATATACTGGCCCAGCTCTCACTAGCATACTTGTTTCTACATGAAGCTTCATGAACCAGACCTCCATCTGCGTTTTCTTGACTTTTCTAAAGACATTCTAGTCTTTCAAACTCCTGCCACTCAAACTTCCATTAAGCCATGCTTAATATGGCTTATCTATCCCAAAGTTCCAAATTCTTTCACACTTTTCTTGCAAACCACTTCCTAAAAATGCTAAGAACCACATGGTCAGGTTTGTTATCACAGCAAGGACACCACTCTTGGAAACTATTTTCTATATTATTTCTCTCTTTTCTGTGACAAAATACTTGACAAATAAAACTTAAGGCAGGAAGCATTTATTTTGGCTCATAGTTTGAGGGCATAGTCTTGGTAATGAAGGATGGATGGACACAGTACATCCACAGTTAGGAAAAACATGCACACATAGTACCCTAGAAACACTATCATATCTGTCTGTGCTTGTGTTGTCTGCATACAAGCCAGACATTTACACTAAAAATTATGGCAAGAAAGGAAAGGAAGAGCTATGACAATCCAGAGTTGCTTTTAAGTCCACATTTAATTACAAAGTTGAAAGGAGAGAGTACTAGTAAAATATGATTCTATGAGGACACTAAATACAACAATTGACTAAACATCCACTTTCCCTGTTCAAGCAAGAATAAAATGCACAAGCCTATACGAGCTGTCTGCCTTTTATACATGAATTTTAAAAATTATTTTTGTGTGTATTTAAGGCATGTAAAAAATATTGCAGATTATGTATAGAAAGTAAAAAAAAAATCACCGTATGAATAAAGTTAACATACCTGTCTGTTCCCACCCCCTACTCTTACACACCTTTTTGTTTGTTTGTCTCCCACCCCCCTCTCTACTCTTCACACAGCTTCCTTGTTCAGTTTTCTGGTAAGATCAGATTATACCTCACTTAGCACAAATCCTAAATGCGATTTTAAAGTAAAATTTTCTTATCTAGAACAGCATTAAATAGCAAATGAAACATCCTAAAATGTAGAGCACCCATCAAGAAGGAATAGAAAATGTATGCCTTGGGACCATCAGCAGCATCTTTCTTCCTCCTTTTGAACAAGAGAACCTGCGTTTCCTTTTGTACCAGACCAAGTGGGGTTGCTAGCTGTACCTGCCTTTAATAAACACGCAGACTGCAATGTGGTTCCAGATTTTCAGTTTTGAAAGGGCATGCCACCCCACACTCCAACCTATGCAGCGACACAGTGAAGTCCGTGCATCTTTCACCATTCTTGTATCAGAGATGAAGCCGTACTGTCTGCTGCAGATGCTGAGGTCTTCCAAGTTCTCTTTCACAGCCATGGAATTCATGTCCTGGCTGCCACATTGGCTGGTAACAAGTCACGGATAAATTCCCAGCCTCAGATATGCCTTTGGTCAAAGGGAACCGCTTGTCTCAGCTGAGCAGAATGTTGAAGTGTCATCCCACCTTCAAAATTCTACAAGGGACTGGCTGTTGGCTTTGGACTACTGAACTGCAGGATCCATTCTTGTTTGCCAAGTTCTACTTTCATTTTCTCGGGCTCGTCCCTCTCAGCAGCAGTGCCAACAAACTCCCAGTGTACCAATCTGGCTCCAAGTCTCTTTTCTCTAGATTTGGACATGAATGCAGTGGTATTGACTTTTATTAAACAAATCATGATTTTTGGAGTTGACAATTTACTGTGCTTAAGCCCAATAAATGTTTGATCATTTGCCTTCTTTTCCCTGTAGTTACAGTTGTAATTATGTCTATTTCTATCCATTCCCAACAAGAGTCTGTCATTCTAATGTTTTACACCAGGGAAACTATTTCTGTATGTTTGCTAGCCAAGAGAAACCACAATTCTTAAACAAAACATGAACTCCCTCAGAGCCACTTAGAATGGATTTTTTGCTCTTACAAGCATTTTCTTCGTGGGAGGAAAAAAATATACCAAAGCCAATATTTTAAAGTTCAATCAGTTATCATCTGGAATATTTTTAAGGAAATTATGAAACTTTTTTTTCACCATGAAATGCTTTGGGGCTAGCTTTTACTCAGAAGTTTTCAACTTCTAAACTATCAATTAAATCCTATTCTTTAACATGAGTTACTCTGGCTCTTGTTAGCTATAAAAGTGATTCTCAGTCATGTTCTTTTAAAGGAATAAAAACACCTCTAAATATGCAAATGTCTCAGACACAAGTTTCTACCGCCCAGGAACACGTCTGCTGGTTTTAGTGGTGCTATCGTGAGTAAGGGTACATTCTACAACTCATTTGGGAAATATTTGCCTGACTCAATCCTAACATTTGGCTACCAGAGTTAGGAAGATAAAAATTAATACCTTCTGAGTCATAAGGTGTGGGTAAGATATAATTCCTAATGCAAGAGAAAATTGTCCTCATGTAGGTCACTTGATCATTTTCAAACCTTGTGGATTTCACCATCAGTCCAGAACAATTTCTGGATTTCAGTAGTTACTGAGGGTCAAGTTTACCGTAATTGTGATGCAACCTTCTTAGTGAGACTTCCCAGGTCACCCCATTTGAAATTACACCCCTTCTTCCTGCTCCTTACCCTTCTGTTAATTGGTTTTGCTAAAAAGCACTTACCACCATTAACATAAACAAATGTTGCTTTTTTTCCCTGTGAGTTCCTATTTGGTTTTGCTATATTCCTGATGGCTATAGCAGACTCTGGCATTATTACTATTATTACTTTTAACAATTAATAAGAAAATGGATAAGTCTATAAGCCATCATTTTTTTTCTTCTGTGATTTGAGCTTTCAATTTGTGATTTATTTACACTGAAGATTTTGTGGCACCGTGGAAGGAAGGAGTGATGATACGGTTCCAGCAGTGAACATCTAGTCTTTTTCTAATAAAGTCAAATAAACAAATGATGTCTCTGTTGCGGTAAGGTTCACATATTTCAGCATTGCCACAGACAACTCACTGTTTTAGAAGGTTGTGGAACCTGTGGTACTGTGGCCCAGTGAGCAGAAGTGGCTCTGTCTTTGGAAACTGCACTCCCCTCTGTATTTGGCTCTAACAAGCTGTTTCCTGTTCTTCTAAGATGTAAGCAAGCTTTGCTGCAAACTCCAATTATCGCAGGCGAACCACCTGGCCCTGTGCCTCCCCTGCCCCACACCAGGCCGTCCCTAGCCAAAATAAACCCTCCCTCAAGTCCTTTCTGCTAGGAAGTTTGTGACAGTGATGTAAAAAGTAACAAATATAATCATTCATAAAATCACAGAGCGTTTCTGTGAGTATAGTGCCCTAGCCAGGCAAAACTAAGAACACCAAACTATGGCTGACTTATAAATACCGGGCTAGTTTAGGGCCTGCAATTTGATGAAATTCTTAACCAACGATAACAAGGAAATCAATGTACTCTACTCAGAATAGACCCTCTTGCTCTGTTCTGCTTCAGGTAAATAGTGTTTAAACTTAGGCATTTTTTTTTTTTTTGCTGGTTAGGAAATTAAAATATATATTTATAAAAGAGATGAAAGGAGGTAATATTAAGCCTGGTCTTAGGGAAGGAAATGCAATAATTCACACAGATACTTTCTCTGAAAGTCTTATATCATTATTCTGACTGATGTGAGCCAACATTTTGGATGTATTGTTAAGAATTTATGTTCTTTTCTTTCTTCTTCTCTTTCTTCCTCCCATCTCCTTTTTCTTAGACAGGTTCTTTTATAGGTGAGGCTGACCTCGAACTTGCCTTTTATCTGAGGATGACCTTGAACTTCTGATCTTCCTGTCTCTACCTTCCTAGTGTTGAAATTACAAAATGAATGCATTTCTTTAAATAATCATTACCTATAAAGGATCAGGTTGAGTGTATACAACTCTCAAAGAGCATCTTTACTAAGAAAAGAACAGTGAGAAAATATTTTGCAAATAAGTAGGAAACTGGCTTATCCACATAAGGCAGACTGCAGATTTACCAGATTGACAAAATGCATCTTAGTAAAATTGATGTTAGACTATAAATAAGAATTTTCCTCTCCTGCAACTCTAAAGCTGTCCTAGCCCATGACTCAGTTTCCTACACCAGTAGTCACAGTAGTCAGGGGAAGGAAATGCTTGCTCACCTTTGCTGTGTTTGTAATAACCACTCCACATCAAAGAAGTGACTCACTCCGCCCCCTTGCCAGCCTCGAGCTTGCTTTCTACCTCCCACCACCCTTTACTGGCTGTGCTGCTGTTTGGCTTGAGGGGCCTCTACCAGCAAGTCTGGGTTTGTGGTGTCTGGCACGCTCACCTCCCTGAATGACTAGGCTTCCAGAGGTGGGCTGTTTTGCAGGTTGGAACCTGAAGTTGACCACCACTTTACCTGACCTCTGGTTCAAGTCATATGATTCAACATCCGGAAGCTGGGCTCATACCGTCTCTCCTTGAACAGCACAGAAGGAAATGGAATAATCTTGTGTCTGTACACCTCTTAAAAGTAAACACAAATAGGTTATGAGTAACCCTGAAAGGTTATGAATGTCTACTTTCGTTGGTTTGAGAGAAATATATTGCTGTTGGGAATTCCACAAACTATCAGATTTTAGTGAGTTCAGCAAGTGCTAACACAGTATGGTGCAGGTGGTGGGTGCTCAGAAAGTATTTATGTCTGAGGAATATGCTTTTTTTTTTTTTTCTAGATGGGAACCATTATAGAGAAATAATTTCACTTCAGTGTTTCTTAGAAAGGAAGGATCTATATTTATTTTAATAAAAATCTATCACCAGATTCAATAGTAGGTGAAGTGTAGACTTGGAAAATAAAAGGCTTTGGACTTAGTAGAGATACTACTGAGATTAGAAACCCCGGGGCAACTCAAGTTTTAATGAAATTAATGTAGCTTGGTGCTAAAGGAACTTGGAGTCAGATCCACTGTTCTGGTATCTCTTACCAGCAACGTGACTGACTGTTCAATCTTGACTATTACAATCTTCTATGTTATCATTAAAATTGGGTTAATAGTGAACATGTCTTAAGCTTCATATAAATTTTAATTAAGACAATATAAATAATTTGAAAATACAGATTATTTCCTATTTTGGAAGAAAGAGAGAACAAAACATGCCTCCCTCTGCTGCCCATAGGTGCTGCAGAGCAGATGCAGTAATACGAAATGGCTTTTCCAAGTGTGCTGTGTTAGCATTATCTGACTTCCTCTTGGCCATAAGTACCTTCCTCTCCCCTGCCTTTGAACACAGCCTTGCTGCTCTTATCTTCTGGTACAGCCCTTGGCTATTTGCATGTAGGGTTTTACAGACCAGCAGTCAAAGTGCTTGCGGCACACTCCTTGATTCAGCATGGCAACCTCTTACGCTTGGCAGCATAATCCTCGGATACTTTGCATTTAAGTGTTCACTTTGCTATCACTCATGGCTCAGTAAACTTTGGGATGTTCTTGATGCTGATAAATGCTAAAACCAGAGCCCTCTAGGACTGCATTGATGATAGAATGGTCTGCTCATGTTACAGCAACATGCCTCTTGCTCAGTCTTTCCTTCCAGACAGTCTGGCATCCTTTTTCTTTCTTTCTTTTTTTAACGGCTTGCCATGCTGATTAATAATGCTTCTGGGGAATTTGGAGAAGAGGTGGTGTGAATGGGTTTATGTATTATACAGATTACCTCATGATTACTCAGAGTTAACTGGAAAATTTCCAACCATTTCTTCTTGATCTTCACTTCCTGAGGGATTTGACCTGCCATCTGCTACCAAAGCCCCATTTGGAAAGAGCATGCTTGCATACTGGTTCTTCCAGAAAATATGAACTGGGAACCATTAGTGGGAAGATGATGTGAAACAGAGGAAAATTCTTCAGTAACCGATCAATACAGCTTCAACACCAAGTCCATCATTGCAGGATCCAAAGAGAATCCCAGACAGATCTCTAAAATAAAGCACCATTGATCACAGTACAGCACATACAAACTCCTCAGCAGTACTATAATGGCAGCCACCAGTTATTTTGTTTTCTTAATGTTTTGAATTTTTGACCTTTTTTAACCAGAGAAAAATATTTAGAGAAGTCATAAGATTTTTTTTTTTTCTGGTGTCCTTATGCCACAAGGTTGAATTAGAGGAAATGGTAAAATAACAAAGTGTTTCAATGGTTATTTAGAGAAAAGGTATTTGGAATTTAAGAAATATTTAAGACTATACCAAATACAGTGATTTTAAAAATTAGAATAGAAGAGGAAACCATTGGTGAATTAGCTTATTTTAAAGCAAGGACTCATATTACATTTCACTTTCTACTTTTTTGATAGGTTTCGTTGTATCTATAACACTCTCCTCTCTCTCTCTCTCTCTCTCTCTCTCTCACACACACACACACACACACATTAAGGCTTTTATGTCAATGAAATTTATTTTGTCCTTTAAGAATGGATTAACATACAGAAGGGGAAAAGATTAAAAGTTTCATCTTATTCCTAATATTTTACTAAAAATTTCAGGAAAATTGGATGTAACAAAAGAAAAATGAAGCTACTTCTTAAAATTTTGAAGAATATATCACTTTTTAAAGGATAATTTTTTGTTTGTTTTTTGAGACAGGGTTACTCTGTGGCTTTGGAGGCTGTCCTGGAACTAACTCTTGTAGACCAGGCTGGGCTCGAAGTTACAGAGATTTAAAGGATATATTTTTTTTACTGATATGGAAAACTCCAATTTATTTAGAGGTATGCTGCCGTAATTAAAGTCCAGCCCTGGGATTGGCTGTGTCAACATAGGCAAGGAATGAAAAGGGCTAGCAGGTTACTTGGACAATCTGACCAGAGAAGATAGCTGACGTAAGTGTATAGCTCAGTCTTCCACAATTTGTGGTCAGTTTTATTCGCCAGCCCTGCCTGGGTAATTACATCAGATTTCCACACCCTTGGCTGTGTGGACACAGAGAGAAGGTTTTTAGCTCACGGAAAGAAGGTTATGGAAGTCTGACTTACATAATTGGTCTCCAGTCTTGAAAACATCTATCCATGAGTGCTTAGTTGGATAATATGCCTGAACTTGCCTTTCGGAGTTTCTTATGCTGGCTAATAGTTGCCATCCATGACTATGGCATTTTATGAGACTCTGTAGAAATATTTGTTCCTCCTAAGATCCCTTTTCCTTTCCCTCCTCATTTTCCAAATTTCTTCTAAGTGATTTTCATAAAATCATATAATACTGGATACTACTGATAATTATAATTCCAGTATTTCTCACCCTTATTAATGTTTATAATACATATCTGGTTATTTGATTTTTTAAATAAATTTTCTTTGAAATAAACTCCAAATTACTCACTTTAGATACCCTCTAAAAAGTGTATTCCAGGTTATGCATTTAGTGTGCCGATTATTTTTCCTGATAATAAACCAAGTGTGTACTCAAAGCATGTTATTTAACTTCAAGAAATACTATTCTTGTCTAGTCTTTAAATGAGAAAACTTAGGTGCAGCAAAGTGTACCAAGTCTTCTACAGGAAGATAGCCAGCTAGCAGTAGAGTTAATGATTGAAACCATGCTTTTAGACTTTTAAATCCAAGCCTCTTCCACTAACCACACTGATTTAGGTTTGGCACTTATTTGGTAAATTTATAAGAAATATTCATTTAATAAAATATTGTAAGAAGGACATCAGTTGTCCTTTACTTACTCTTAAGTGTCTAGTGTATCACAGATACTTGGAAACAATGGTCCTCAACTAAAGTATCCACACAGGAGTTCATAAAGACTTCCCAGGCCCATGTAGAGTGTTAAGAGTGCTGTAGAGATATGCATTTCCCACAAATTCCCTAAGAGAAGGATTTGTGGGGAAGACATTCCTATTGAGAATGCTACTTTACTGCCATAAGAATAAAGTCATTTTTTCACACCCTTGGGATTTTGTTAGGATTTCCCCCGAGTGATTGAGCACACCAGCAGTGATACTAAAGATATGGATGAGTGACAATATGCTATAACTGCGGCAGGAGGTGTGGAAAGTGAATTTCACATCTGGTGTCAATTCTGTTCTTTCCACACAAGTGAATGTACATTGACGAAATTTCAGCTGATATACCTTCAAAAATAATTTTTTTTGCATGGTAGATGAACATGTAATTTGGGACACAAAAACTTCAAAGGCCCAAGTATTGTGTTACAACTATATAAAAAAAAAAAACCTCTGTTTGCATCTACAAAGGGATGTTTTAGCACTTATCTAAATTAAAATGTCAAATAAGAATGAAAATAGCTGCTATACTCATAGATCAGTGCCTTATTCAGCCATCCTCAGAGAAGCTGCCTCCTGTAGCAGATGGAAACAAATATAGAGACCTACAGCCAGACACTATACAGAGAATGAGAGAACTTGGAACACTCAGCTCTAAATGGAACACAAAAATTGTTCAGAGGTCCAAGTGTCTTCTCTTGGACTCTTCTTTCTGTTGGCTTGTCATGTCCAAATTTGATGTGATAGTTATTGTTGTATCTTTTTACATTTTATTTTTTTTATTTCAACATTATCTCATAGAATCCTGTTCTTTTCCAATGTGACACAGAAAGGAAGTGGATCTGGATAGGAGAGGAGGTGGGGAAACTGTAATCAGGATATATTATGTGAGAAAAGAATCTATTTTCAATAAAAGGAAAAATGTTTAAAAAGTTAAAGAAGAGAAAAGAATAGAATTATTGCTAAACTTTAACTTGTTCTAGCAATACATAACATTCATACACAAAACCTATAGGGAAAAAAACACCCAGACATATCCATCTCCTTGAAATATGTTCAGCATTGGTTTTCATGTATTGATTTATCAATTTTCATATTTATGTAATTATATTGAACATAATCCAGTAATATAATGCATTTACTAAGCAATTTACCAGTAAAAATTATGATGTATCTCATGTTTATGAGAGGTTCTTTGTCATGGCTGGTCCCTCTGCCCTTCAGCCCCAAATGAACACGCAGATGCTATATTAATTATAAAATTGTTGGTCAATGACTAAGGGTTCTTATTGGCTAGCTCTTCTTAATTATTAGCCCACTTCTATTATTTTAAGTATTTCTACATGGTCTTATCTTACCTGAGAAGGGTCTGGACCTGTTACTCCTTTGGTGGCCTACATGGTGACTGTTCTGGTGGGCCCTCTCTGCCTACCTTTCCCAGAATTCTTCTTGTCGTAGTCCCACCTATCTTCCTGCCTTATAGACCAGACAGTGTTTTATTCATCAACCAATAAGAGAAACATATATACAGAAGAACTTCCCCCATCAACCTCATATAAATATTTTAACATTGGAAATCTATTGGAAAAATTAAAAACTAACTTATTTATTTATATGTTTATATTTTGCTGTAGAAAAAAATATATATAGTCAACAAATGATGTAATTTGAAAGTAAACCAATATTATATGAATACATTTATATCAAACTAGCATAAATATAGTGAGAAAGGAAAATAAAAAATAAGAGGAAGATATAAAATTCCAATTTCTATGAAGATCTTATTTCTTGATTTCCGTTTTTACTATTATTGATGGGGAATCAAATGACTTTGCTACCTAAATTTCATAGCAGGCATTAAAAATTTTGTAATAATTTCATTTAAAAAAGATTAATATAAAAATCCTGGCAGTGGTGGCACATGCCTTTAATCCCAGCACCCAGGAAGCAGAGGCAGAAGCAGGTCGATCTCTGTGAGTTCAAGGCCAGCCTGGTCTACAAAGTGAGTTCCAGGACAGCCAGGGCTACACAGAGAAACTCTGCCTCAAAAAAGAAAAACAAACAAATAAACAAAAACGTTAAAGTAAGCTATGCTCTCACTATGAAAATAACTACACAGGTAGTGAACTTGTTATATTTTAGCCATTCCACAGTGGCCTGTGTGCTTCAAGACATCATGTTGTACATAAAAAATACAATGTTAACAGAAAATTTAAAGTAATTATAAAATTAATGAAATAAATTGGAAAAACAAAATTTATAGTATTTATGTCTTGATTAAAATATTAGATTTATTCAAGGGGCACAGAAAGTTTCAAGGCTATTACTTTCAGAACTGAAGTCGATTTTCTAGGTGGAGAATTCTCCATGGAGAAACTTTGACCTGGTGCCACCTTCCCAGGAATAAATCCTGTAATTGTCTGCTGATCACACTGTACTGTAGACTGCAGGGTTGCCAGCATCCCTGCAACACACTGCCTGGCAGTCAAGTCATGAGCCTGAATGTCTGTTGTCTTTGCTTGTTACAGTGAATCCAGATTAGTTTCGGAAAGGCTACACTAGTTCTCTAGCTTCCCATACCGTGACAGAGTGGAGCTTCTGTTTTTACCAGATAAAGTGAAGTAGTTATTTCTTATAAAAGTTAGAAAAGTTTGAAGCAATAGAATGAAATAAAAGGAAGACAACATTAACTTAAAGGGTACATACATATGTAAAATAACTGCAGTTTTAAAAACTTTCTATTTATTTATTATGTACATTGGGGTTTTTGCCTTTATGATGCCTGTTTGAGGATGCTAGATCCCCTGGAACTGGAGTTGCACACTGCCATATGGATTCTGGGAATTGAACCCAGGTCCTTTGGAAGATCAGCCAGTGCTCTTAACTGGTGAGCCATCTTTCCTAGCCCCATAACAAGAGATTTTCAGTCACGTATAACCATATTTTTATTAAAAGTATGAAGTTTAGCTCTGTATTCAAGTTCCTAGCTTGTATTAAACACCTAACACTTCACTCTGGTAATGTATAGGACAGTTTTATTCTGAGTAATGTGAATTATTTATGATTTATTCCAGCTACATTGTTTTATAATATCAAAAGTTTGTGATGAAAGACACAGAGTTTAACTTTCTCCTCTACTTCTTATAATTGCCACCAGAAAAATTAAAAGCAGAAAGGAAAATTTCCCCATGTATTCAAAAATAATTGAACTCTGAAAAATTGCAAATGTGTAAAACTGCTTACAATGAAGTATTATTTAACACAACTAAACCATATCAGCCTTATTGTAGAGATCATTTTTGGCTTGTGCTTTAGCACATTATAAAGAATAAAATTTATTCTGTTCTATTAAGTCTTGATTATATTCAAAAGTGGTTAGTCTTCCTGTTCTTCCCCATCAACATGTTATTCTCACTTTTGGACAACCAAAACAAAAAAATTAAATCTAGAACATGTAGATATTTACAGTTAGAACTGTTCTACAGTGCTGACAATCTAGAAATGAATTCAGTATTAATGCTCTTCTTCATAACATCTTATCCTCCATAATCACAGCCTGATGCCTGAGACTCATATTTCACTCCTGGAAAGTTTCAGAGAAGCCACGGAAACCATAATCATTTGGTGAAAAATAATAGGGAAATCACTTCTATTTATAAAAACCCACTTCTGTGCTGGACCTGCATGAGTGTATTATAAATATTATATTGCTTGGAAAGTTAGATATCCGAGAAACACTTCCAAATAATTAGAAAAATATACACAAATGTAAATTGTTTTTGAAAACTGAAGCACATTTTCAAATACAGTCAGTTAGAAACAACAAAAATTAGGACAAAAAGATAGGCCACTGAGATGGCTCAGCTTGTAGATCATTTACTGCACAATCAAATCACCTGAGTGCGAGCCTGGGATCCCACTGTGCAAGGAAAAAAACAGTAAAACAGGTCCCATAAGTTGTCCTCTGACAGACAGACAGACAGGCAGACAGACACAGACACACACAGACACACAGACACACACAGACACACAGACACAGACACACAGACACACACACACACACGAGTCATACCATAAAAGCCAAGAATGCCATTGTTTTGTTTATATCACTTACCTAAATGAACAAAAGCACTAAAACTGAATTCAACATTTTCAGTGGTGTCATAAAGATGGAATATTCTGAGGTTTGTTCCTACCCATTTTGAAGGGAAAGCTCATGGGATTTTATCAAAGAATAAAACTTGATAGAAAACAGGGATGACTAGGATGATAAATTTTAGGTGTGGGTGGATACCTCATGGTATTCAGGTCATTTGCTTAAGAGAAAGGAAGAGATGAGTTATACCTTGCCTTTGTGATAAAATCACGTAGCAATTGATGCTTCATTCAGTGTTTAATTTGTTGTAAATATCATAGTAACTTTGTTCCAAGTTGATTAAGGTTTAATCACAAGTGACTAAGCAAGTAGGCATGAAAGAAAGAATAAGTCATAACTATTACTCACTTATTAATATTCTTCCTATATCCAGGGATTTAGATTTGCTTGCACACTTCATGACTAACTTGACCTGATTTTTTTCTATGAAAAGATAAATTTACTTGGGATAAAATAAAGAAATAGAAAATGCAGAGGATGTTATTAGATGCTGAGTTTTCACACGGGCAAACAGACCTATGTTTCCCAAGTATGTCACGGGATGTTGACTTCTCTTCATGCACATACTTGTCAGAACCAAGTCAGATCTTAACCTTGCACTAATATTCTGAGATTAAAAAATCCTAGTTCCAGGTAGGTAAGAAAAGTTCAGAGACAGGGGCACATGACTACCCCCCAACCCCCATAGCCAACTAGAACAAAAGCTCCCAGCTCCTTGTGAAGCATGTGGGATCATCTTCTCTTCTGCGGGTTTAGGCAAGTCTGGTTTTCAACCCATGGTTTGGCAGGCTGTGGGGTAGGAAAACGGAACAAATCAAGCTCTTAGACTTCGAAATGGAATGCTGTCTTTGAGAACGATTGAGAGTGAGCTGAATCATTTGGAGGTTTGAAAGATGGAAATAATTTACCTAAATACTTTAAAAATCAATGTCAGGCCTTAATACTTAGCCTACTGATAACAAGGAAAAGAAGAAAAGATTTTAAGCAAAATTTTAGTTAAATATTACCAACTATATGGTATTGTGTCTTGTTCTAGTTCAAATTTAATAACTAAAATTACCCCAAAATATTTTCTGGGTGTACTGTATGAGAATACTTTCATGTCATAGTTAGGGGAATAGCATTATGAGTTTTCTGGCAGATCTATTGATTGTGCAAACTATTAATAGATACAGATTCACAAATAATGGAAATATAAATGCCATCATTTGCAAAACAGTAAAATATCAACAGTAATTCATTATGACAGTTTCACTACACAAGTAAAAACTTAAAAAGATAATACTCAATTTGTAATTTAAACCGAAGAAAAGTGAATTCAGAGGTTGGCAGAATCCCCTCCCCCACTTCCTTTCTCCCACCCCATTTGTTTTCTTGATTTTTTCAAATATAAAACCCACACTCCTCTCTCCTTTTCTTTGATTATGTATGTGAACAAGACATTATAATGACCATATTGGTTTTTCATATATCAAAAATATAAACGAAAATAAGTACTATTATGATATTGAATAGAGTGTTTATATAGGGATTTTCTTTAGGATAGTTTGCCTCCCAAGTCTGGATAGTTTTATGTCTAAGATTGTATTTAGAAAGAATTTTGAGTATGGAATTTTCCTGGGATATCAGTGTTCTTGATCACCCATCACCAGAGATGGGTGATTTAACTGGTTTATTCCTTCTGCTCCTGTTTTATCTTCACAACCAGAGATCTATTGTGAATATTCCAACTAAACTTCCATGTTCTCATCAAAAAGCACAAAGCATTGTGCCAAAAGTAACACAGTGAATATAGAGAAACACTTCTCAACGGTCAGATCCTGAAAAGAAACATGTCAAATTGAAAGGTAGTTGGTGTTTTACACGAAGGTATCAGTAATGGATACGCTTTTTAATTGCATTATATAATTTTATTTTCACTTTAAATGACTTCTGTTTTCAAAGTGTGGATGGAATGAATACCCAGTGTTTATACTAAACTTTGTGTAATTCATATGTTTTATATACTCTGAGGGAATATCTTCCTATAACATTCATCATAGACATCTGTTCTTACATGTTTAGAAGATGGTGTTGATGACGGACTGAGCGGGGCCAAGAGACCCACACATAGGGCCGCCCCGGACTTGGAGGAGAAAACACAGTCTGCCTGGCGCCTTGTGGTGACGGGCAGACGTGGCACTATGGTGAACAAATGCATGGTGTGTTATGGGAGGGGGAGAGAGAGAAGAGTTCATTTCGTGTGGACAAGGCGTAACTGAAGAGTGAGGAGCAGGCTGAGGTGAGCTGCTTGATTGCTACCCAGGGTCGTGGTGATGTCTGGGCCTGGGCTGCTGACAGGGCCTGTGTCTAGCTAGGTTCATGGCCCTGATGCAGCTGTGGTCTGTGTTGATGTCCCTGGCTCCTGATACCACCAACGGCAGAGAAGATAGGGCTGTTCAAAATTGGCTCCTTCACTCACTGGCTGCAAAGCTGGTCCCGCCCCTCACCAGCTGATGCACTCAGGAGAGAGGTTCTACATCTCACCTGGGAAGCACAATAAAGCTGACTCTGTTCACAGGGGCATGGAAGAGCTGGCCCAGAGGGCATGGGACTGGGAGAGCAGGCCACGCCCCTCTTGTCTGCCATGTGGTGGCCTGGGTGAGGGAAAGATACCCTCCTCCTCTCGCCTTTTGCCTCTTGCCACCTGCAGCAGGTAGGGAACTTGATCCAATCCCTCAGCAGCTTCAGCACTCAGGAAACGGACGGGCGCTTCGCCTGGGCAGCACAGTAGAGCTGACCCCGTAGACAGGGACACAGCTGAGCCAGCCCAAAGGGCATGAGAGGAGCATAGCCAGTATTGCCTCCCTCGTCTGCAGTGTGGTGGGATGGGGCGAGGGAAACATGCCCTCCCACCTTGTTCCCACTGCCTCCAGCTAGCGAGGGAGCTGACCCTTCCCCTTTACCAGCTCCAACACTCATGGGACTTCATCTGAGCAGCAGGGACTCAAACTGAGATAATAACCCTGAACTAAGGGTAGACCAGATTGGATCACCAAGAACAGTTTATTGAAAGACTTTTGTCTTTCAATACAACGTTACTTGATATTAACCAAGTTTATTTTCATTGTTACTTTCTCTTTAACACTTCAAAGGTCTGTTAGCCCACTCCTCTCGTGGTCCTTTACACTTTCTATCAGTGAGGTGATGTAGTCATGACCTCAGCATCAGCTGCCTCCTTGGTGAAACGCCCTCACCTTTCATTTGGTTTTTCTATCCCCGGAAACTAAGGTCTGGGTGTTACAAGTTCATGTCCATTGCTCATTGCCTCTGTGAGCTTCCACTAATGCTCAGCAGGGGTGTGGATGACAAATTTCCCCACAAGAACTTAGGGCTAGAGAGTCCCCAACTCTAGCACTGCTTATGCCCCAGCTTTAAGCCCCTCTGGGATCAATATTTTCTACCCCCAATTTCATTGGATTCATGTTTTCCTTTTTTTTTTCTACTCGCTTCCTTCCACACCCCTCCAGTACCTGACAATGAGGAATCTTCTTGAGCCTTGCATTTAAGTTCACAAATCCAGTTGTTTTTTCCTAGTATTTGCACCTTTGTTTCCCCCTTCTTCTGCTTCTTCCATTTGCGTAAAAACATGCATAGTTCTCTTGTAGCCTAGGGTACTTTCCTTCTAATCCATATCTTAAACAACTGTGATTGGGTCTTTTCATCTCCAATGTTTGGGAGCGTGTCCTGCATCTCCCCATCCGCTCACTCTAAGAAGTCCACACCACTCAGACTAAGTCGCTGATGAATTAGCTCTCCTTCACTCATGCTGCCATCTACAGAGGTATATTATGTTCTTGGGTTTTTCCTTTCAACCCATCTACACTACTGCAATCACTGTGTTCCTCCTCCCCAAAGCCCCCTCCTGTTAGGACTTGAGTAACAGTAGCTGAGTCTCTTTGACCCCACTGACTGCTTCTTGCCACTTCCTGCCCCATTTTTCGTAATGGCATGATTATTTAGGTCTCTATACTCAAGCTTTTCCATGTGTGAATGTTGAAGATAGAGCTGTGTTCTTACATTTCCTTGATTTTCTTCAGGTAAGGTGACCACAACAGAGAGAACAATAAACACTTTTTACAATAAATATTTATCTCATTCACCAAAAAAAAATGGAATTCTAAACTTCATTTTAAGCCAGTAAATCTTTAGCACAAAAACTTCAGTTTATTCAATGAAATAATTTGGACATAATAATAATTAATTCAATTCTGGCTATCGTTTTAGACTTTGAAAATAAAAACAAGGAACTTTGTTGTTAACAGTGAAATTATTGAAATATTTTCTTTCATTCTATCTTTTCTAAAATAGCAATTACCTTTAAAATTTCACCTTCTTTCACCCTTCTTTTTGCCTTTCTTTCTTCCCTCTCTTGTATCCACCCCAGAAGGAGAATGAATAGAGAGATATTAATAGGTAGATAAATGATAACAGGATATCTTATCTGGCTCTGTCAATCATAGGGGTTTTCTCAGTCTCATGTTTAGAGTGATTTGCCTGGGAAAGGCATGACAGAAGATGGATCTTATTCAGCTCCCCCCCCCTTGGAGTGATAATAAGTAACATATAAGTAGTAGAAAACTTTACTGACCTACTAAAATAGTTATAAATATTTATACACCGTTCTGTACAATGGACATTTGATGGTGGGTTAGGGCTCATCAGAACAACGTGGGTGGAAACATCGCTTTTACTGACATTAAATATATTCTCAGGGTATCTGACTCACATTCCCCTTCTTTCTTGCACCGTGCCCTAGAGTAAAATACCATAGAGTCTGAACTATGAGATAAGGAATGCTGACACAAACCACTTCCTTTTAACTTTCTCTGTTTTTCTTCCTGCCTGAAGAGAACAGATAGAAACCCAACCAGAAGTACAGTGAGAACACTCTTCAGGCATGTGGTCAAAACTGAGAGCAAGTGGGAGGCAACCATGAATATTCCTTGTCAAACACAAAAATTTCCTTTAACTCTCATGTGATTGCAGGAGCCAGTAATCTGTGGCTTTGTTTCCAATATTTTTTTTATTGGGAAGATATTATTCAAAGATCCATTCTGGTGGGGTCTTGCTTGTTCTTCATATCTTATAATAAAATAAAATTTGAAGTAGCTGGTTTGAAGTCTAATGATTTAGTAGGACAAGAAGGAAAGTCCACTTATTTTT